GAAAATGAAAGCAATCCTTATGCTTCACCATATGTAGCAAAACTTCTGCCTGTTTCTGTATTTTCTACCTTCTGCTCTATTGTGGATTAATGGTTCAAATGTTTAAGGTCAGCCTCTCCCTGCCACTAGGTCCCATCCCTGTTTTATCTACACAAGGACATGGCTCCAACAATTATACCCTCTCTTTCCTTTAACACCGAACCCTCCCCAAAAAATTGGGTTATTATTATCACCAAGACAAACATGCTGTAATATTATAGCCCATCAAAAAACAAAGATACAAAACCCTTTGATCCCATATCCTTCCCAAGGTACAACTCCACCTCTCTGTATCCCTTATAGGAAAGAACTGATTGTCTCCAGTTTTTTTGTTCTCATTCTCTTTCTCACTGGCAGAGTGACTCAAGTGGTAGAGAGCCTCCCTAGCAAGCACGAAGCCCTGAGTTCAAACCCCAGCACTGCCAAGAGAGAAAAAAAATGTAACTCATTCTCTTTCTCTCATTTATTTTATTAGTTATTTTATTTTGAAAAATTCTGATTGTACTGAAAAAAAGTTATAAGAATTTATATTCTTTACCTAAATCCCTCAATTAAACAATAATATTTAACAATAACATTGTGCCTCATTTGCTTTATTGCACTTCTATATGCGATAAAGCATATAGAAAACCTATGTTTCTATATATAGGAATATATAATACATACATAAGTATGCATATATTTTGGGCTTAAGTCTCCCAAAATAAGTTATAAATATTATTAGTACTTTTTTGTAAATGCTTTGACATCTATCTCTAAGAACAAAGATATCCTTTTCATAACTCAATATACTATCACACCCTGAAAACTCTAACACTGATTTAGTATCATCAGTTACTATGCAGTCCATATCCAAATTTTCCTAATTATCCCTAAAATGTTCTTTATAGCACTGTTTTTTTTCTTGATATAGAATCCAATTAAAGTTCATGTATGGCTCTCAGTTATGTCTCTTCAATTTCCCTTACAATTCCCCTGGTTTATGTTTGCCATGACACTGATATTTCTAGAGAATCCAGATCAGTTATCATGTACAATGTTCCATGTTTTTGATTTGTCTGATTATTTGTGATGTTGTGAACAGTACATCCAATCTGCATGTCAGTTTGTTCCATTGTGATGCTATATTTGGCCATTTGGTTAGATAATGCATGCCATCTCTTACCATTCATTGCAAAATATCTTCCCTCTGTGTTTAAGTAATATGTAAGATGATACTTTCAGATCATAGGACTATGTTGTTTCCCAATGGCCTTTTACCTAATGGATTTTAACATCCACCAATGACTTGTCTGAATCACACTGAATCATGCAAAATAGTCATACCATCCAAATTTATTTGCTGGTTATTGTTCTTGCTGGGATTCCCTGCTCACCCACTATTTTTATTACTATAGATTTACAGATTATTTGTCTTACTCAACATACTATAATCCATTATCATCATTATTGTTTTGATGCCCCAACTGTCTTGATTTCGTCAGTAGGGGCTGATCTTATGAAACACTTACATTGTTTTTTGAGCACTTCCTTGATTTATGGCACAAGATCCGCCTCAGGTTTATTTTATACTTCCTTTGCCCTAGACTTAAAATCAGCCACTTCTTCAAGGTGTCCTTTTCTAGTTCCCTTTAGTTGGAATGGTATTTGGAAACCACGAACTATATATTCACAGTGCTCATTGCTAGCAAGTTTTTCCTGCAAATCATTCCATTTCACAAAAATTGTCTGCATTTCGGGGGGGTGGGGAACTGAAGTTTGAACTCAGGGCTTCACACTGGCAAAGCCAGTGCTCTACTGCTTGAGCCACATGCATCGAGTCCTGTCTGCATTCTTTTTTGTGATTAAATAGCACTCAACTGTGTAGACATGACACAGTATATTCAACAGTTTCCCATGGTAAGTATTTAGATTATTACCAGTATTTATAATTATTATAAATAATGTCACAACAAGTAACATTTTGTACATGTTCTTTCATTTTTGTACAGGAAAACCTTCAGGTAAATTCCAGTAAGTTTCACATTCTCTTGAGCCCATTACAATCAGGCCTTATTAACTGTTTTCAGTTTTCCTTTCCCTCTGTCTCTTTCCCTTCTGGTTTCACTCCCTAGGAAACCTGGCTTTACTTATATTGCTAACTCCCTGATTTCAGCCGAGTCTCTCTCTGAACTTGAGCTCATATTTCTTCCCATTTCTATAAATGGCAACTCAATCATTACAGAAGCTCAGGTCAAAAATCTTGGAATGAAGCTGGACATGGTAGTTCATGCCTTTAATCTTAAGATTCGGGAAGCAGAGACAGGAGGATCTTGAGTTTGAGGCCCGCCTAGGCTATGTAGCAAGTTCAAGGACAGCTGGGCTATATAGTGAGACCCTGTCCCAACACCAATGCCTCAAAAAAAAAAATCTTGGAACAATCCTGACTTCTTTCTCCCTCTTATATGTTGCATACAATTCCACCAACGAATCTTGCTAGCTCTACTTCCAAAATATATACAGGATTTGACTCTTTCTTATTACTCTACTTACTACTGCTAGCCTTATCCAATTCAGTATCTTTTTTGTCTAGATGAATTCAGTAACCTCTGAACAAATCTTTGCTTCTTTAGGCTATTCTCAATACTATAACTAGAATGATCTTTTAAAATGGAACTTTCAGCACTCTATTCTTCTCAATACTTTCCAATGTCTAAAGCCCTTAAATGGTCTTTAAGTCCCTACACAATCTGGACTTCTAGATTCTCTGAGACTTCATCTCCAGTTGCCTTCTCCATCTCTTACTTGTTCTTCCTTAAAAATTCCAGGCACACTCCCAGTTCAGCTTTTTTGTTTTTTTTAGGGAACTGGGGTTTGCACTTGCAAAGGTGTCCTACCATTTGAGCCACACCTTCATTCCATTTTGCTCTAGTTATTTTTTGGAGATAGGGGTTTCACAAACTATTTGCCCTGGCTGGCCTCAAACCGCAATCCTCCTGATCTCAACTCCTGAGAAGCTAGGATTACAGGTGTGAGCCATTAGCACCCAGCCCAGTTTAGCATTTTGTGCCTAGCTGTTTCCTTATGTCTAGAGTACTCTTTCCTCAGATATTCACACGCTTCCTTACTTATTTCATTAGGATCTTCTGTTTACAGTTCGGAAAACTAGAAGAGAAGAGATACTGGGATCTACTGGCTTCTTAAATCAGTTTTCCTGAGTTTAGCATTACCTCTTCACTAGTATCCAATATAAACTGAGAAATCTGCAATATAAACTGGATTGGTTCTAAGTTTTTCCCATTGTTTGTTTATTTATTTATTTATTTTTAGTGCTGGGGATCTGAGAAATCTGCAATATAAACTGGATTGGTTCTAAGTTTTTCCCATTGTTTGTTTATTTATTTATTTATTTTTAGTGCTGGGGATCAAGCCCTGAGAAAATCTGCAATATAAACTGGATTGGTTCTAAGTTTTTCCCATTGTTTGTTTATTTATTTATTTATTTTTAGTGCTGGGGATCAAGCCCTGGGCCTTAGCGTACTCTGGAAAAGCACTCCACAACTGAGCTACATCCTCAGCCCCCCCTACTGTCATTTTAGAATTAAATTGCCCATATGCCTTCAAACTTCCAAAAATCTATAGCTATTTTTTCCTTTTATCTACCCTATCCCGTAGGCTTACTACTTTAAAAACAAAAACCTTTTTACTATAGTTTTAGTCAGGTTCTTTTTTTATTTTATTTTATCATTTTTACATTTACTTACATGTGTATACATTATTTGGGCCACTTCCCCTACTCCCCTTAGTCATTTTGACAGTGAGCAAAATGTAGGTTATTCTATCATCTTAACATGGACATTTAAAAATTATTTTATCTTAAAATACATACTACAGGAAAATCTTATAAAAAGATTTTAAAGTCACAAATATAAAAACAGTTCTGAGTGTTGTTCCAGTCTTATTTTTCATATATTATACACACATTGTACTCTTTTTTTACTTGGTATCTATGTAATATGTATACTATATTTTTATTTAGTTTTACTCAATATTTAATATAAACACATTACTATCATTTGTACGATTATAATTCATCTAGTGATATAAGAGACTGCCCACATTTTTGGAAAGGCAGAACCCTGGTCATCATTTAAACAAACAAAAAGGCACTCACATTCCATTTGTTACAAATATCTTTCTAGGAAACCCTTTTAAAAATCTACAGTGTTTAAAGAGTAAAAGCCCATAGAAAACTAAATTAAGCGGTAGTCTTTTTCAGTTACCTAGAATTCTAGTTTAATTTGCTTTAAGTTACTTAAAAACATATCATTTTTTCTTTTATTTGTTGGCAGTACTGAGGATTAAACCCAGAGTACTGAGTAAGGATGACACTCCCACCCATTTTTTTTTTTTGGTGGTGGGGTGGGGAGCAATACTGGAATTTGAACTCAGGGCTTTCCACATGCAAGGCAGGCACTCTACTCTTCCAGTCCCCTCTTTGCTCTGGTTATTTTGGAGATAAGGGTTTTGCTTTATGCACAGATCAGCCTGGACTACAATCTTCTTATTTTATGCTTCTACCGTAGCTGGGATGACAAGTGTGTGTCACCATGGTCAGTTAGTGATTGAGACCAGTTAGTGGTCACACTAATGCTTTTTTGCCTGTTCTGGCCTTAAACCATGATTCTCCCAATCTCAGCCTCCCAAGTAGCTAAGATTATAGGCGTTAGCCACAGGGTCTTGTTAAGTTGTCAATGCTGGCCTCAAACTTGCAGTCCTCCTATCTTAGCCTCTGGGGTAGCTGGGATTGCAGGCATGTGTCACCAAACCCAGCAAAGCATATCCTTTTATGCCACCAGATATAGCAAATGGAAAGTGCATGACAACTACAATTCTAAAAATAACATAATGATCACACAGATATTACCATCTGTTATTATAGCAATCTTCCACAAACTTAGCATATAGAAAAAAAAACTTACCTGTCTAAGAATATATCTGGGAGTGGTGGATAGGTCTGCATGTCAGGCACTCGCTCATGGACTATCACCATAATGAAAGATGTAAATCCAAACACTATGAAAACATATATACAACTCAGTATAGTCTTCCAGTACTCTGGGTCCAATCTTCGGACAGAATGTTTGTTTTTGCCATTCATGTACTGGTACTGATCAGAATTCAAGTCAGTGATGGGTCCGTCACAGTCATGTGAAGGCTCTCCATTACAGAGCCAGTCTGCACTCTGAAGAGCACTGATGAGTGGGGTCATAGGACCCATAGGACTGTCACTGCTGTAGCCCATTTCTTCTAAAACATCAGTATGTATTTTCTGCAATTTTCTAACTGATAGCATTAGCCTTTTAATGTCCCCTAGGACTTTGATTTCCAGAGGAGGAGATCTTAGATCATATTCAGTCAATGTTAGCAATGTGATTCCATCAAGGCGGTGCTTATTGCATAAAATGTCCACATATTCAAAAAAGCCTTCATCCTTCAGCCACACAGCTACGTGCTTGGTAGTCCAGCGGCGAATGCAGAGTTGATTAGGACCTGCCATTTCTTTCTCTACAGCCTGTCAAGGGAAAACCAGAAAACAAAACAAAAACTTTAGTATCCAAACAACTTCCTTGAAGACCAAATACATGGAAACATACCAGAAATAGTAATTTACCTATACTTCCCTATTGGCTTCTAGAGTCAAAGAAACAAATATTACTCAATAATGAGTGATTTTTAATAGATTCTAATAATTTTACACATATAACCCCAATAGCAAAAGAAAGACTAATGATTTAAGTTTTGTTATATGCAAAAAAAATCAAATCTCTGAAATCTTCATGTTCATGGAAAAATAAACTCCCCACTTGAGGGGGAAAAAAAAAAACACAAAAGAAAATAGATAACTGTGATTTCAGGAGACTATTAAGATTTGGCATATTTCTATCTATTATATATAAAATGATTTACTTAATATAAATTTACATCTAGGTATAACTTGATACATATTTATGTAAGTATATAAACAATATATTATACATCTATACATTATATATTTCTATACATATAAATTTATAACTAGATATAAATTTGAGCCCTAATAAAGCTCAGTTCTTTTTTTATCTAGAATATACCATTATAGAACTGAATAAGGCATTTCTGGGATTTCAGTGTTAAATTTTTAAAAAGAAAACTGTCATTTCACTGTAGTCATAAATCTGATGATGCATACTTTATATTATAGCCATGAAAGGCCAAGAATGTGCTACACTTTAAAAAGTACTTAAAAATTTTATTACTTTGACCCTACTCAGTTGTTTTTTTTTATGTCCTTTTTCTATTGCAAAACTTTCAGTTCCTTAGAGCTGAATAGGTTTATAAAGTGTATCAGATACATGGAAGACAAAGGCCTACATGGGAAAAACAAAGAAAACAAAAAAAGAAAAAAGAAAAGAAAAAGAAGGAAGCAACAGCTATTCTCGAAAGATTTGCTGTATTTCCTTCTGACATGATGTTTAAAACAAACTTTAAAGCATTAAAAAAAATACAGAACAAATGCCTATGTGCCCACAACCCAGCCTGAAAGATAAAGATCAAACAGTTCCAATGTAAATGTTCTTTTTCTTTTTTCCCTTTCCCTTCCTTTCTCTTCCTTTTGCTCTTTTTCTTTCTTCCTTTCATCGCTCTCTCTCTCTCTCAAATTTTTGAAGACAGGGTCTTGATATATGGATGTGTTTCTTTTGTGAAAATTCATCAAGCTATATACTTATAATCTGCACTTTGTATCAAGCTTTACAAAAGAGTTTGCTTTAAGAAGCAAATAAAACATTAGCACAAATGAGTATCATTCTATCTTGAAGGACAATGATTACTTTTCCCAACATTCTAGATAGCATTCTCTTCCTCTCCTTTCAGATTTGGGTGTCTATCGTGACTTTATAACATGCATTCTGGGCTATGAAAACCTCCCATGCTTCTCTAGGCTGAGGAAAGAAAAAGACAAATGCTGTGATGCATTCTTCTTCTATCCACATGAACTTCTGCCATGAAGACTTATAAGCATTCAGCAAAAGGTGATATTTTAACTAATAAGCCTCCTTGTATCATAAAAAGTATTCAGAAAACAACAAATGCACTTGATAAAATTTGCTTGCAGATTAATGCCATGGAAATGGCAGTTAATCATAAAATATTTATTTCTTAATTACTAAAAAAGCAATCCTAATTTTTTAAAAGCTTAAATCATTTTGTTTCCAAACAGAGCTTTTGATATTTTCAGCCCACATTATAAAATTAACATCACATCCATCTACAAGGAGTTTATATTTAAAAGTTTGCTGCAAACTTACAAAAAATTCTTACTCAACTCTTTTGCTACAGTATATACCTTCACCATCCCAAAGGTCAAGGAATTACAAATTACTCACTTTAACACATGGAATTCATGTATTTCTGTATTATATATTATTTCATACCATTATTACATAGTATATATAAAATTCTACTAAAATATAGTTTTGCTATATTTGCTATCTTCTTTTTCCCCAGATACACTCTGACTAAATTACTTTATCCTTGGTTATTCAACAAGCACATGCTGCAAAGTGAGCAGCAGTTACAATAAAGCAAATCTGATCAAGAAGCACATCTCATACATTTCTCTTTTTTGTTTTTATCTTGCTACCTTTCCCCTGTATCTAACAGCTTACCACCAATGGGTTCCAAGTCACTCCCATCTTGTAGCATTATTCTTCAGTATAGTTTCATCTCATACTGTGCTCGAATGATTCTTCTCTCTTTCATGTTTTTCTCCCTATCTTAGCTCATCAGTTCTTCACAACTTCAATCAAGCTAATAGGCTTTGATGTGGATGTTTAAGCTGCTTGAAAATATGAGCGATCATACATAGGTGCCTCCTGCAAGTCTTTGAGCCTGCTGTGGGAATGCCCTAAAAGTATGATACATTTCACTGTTGGCTACATCAGGTCAGTGCATGTCTTTTAATTGTATGCTACTACGTAATAGTTACAGGCCCAATAATACCTAACTACTTAGCTATTATTTTGAAAGCCTGAATTAAAGAGGTATATTAAAAGATGATAAAAAGCTTTAGGGGCCATTTAATATTTATGTTGTGCCATAGGAATTACAGGGAACAGAAGACTTTGAGCCAAGAATATGACAGAAACAGGTTTCATACTAATCAATAAAATGAAGAAATTAGGTTAGCCAATGTTCAAGAATGCTTTCAACTTTAACAGAGAACTGATGGATCAATTATCGGTTAAAGGGATTTCTGCTTCCACCCTCTGAACTAACAACCAAAATGCAGATAAACTATGTGAAAAATAACTCAAGACACTGGGTATCGGCCAAATGCCTCAGTTAGGAAACAAACAGAATGGGCTCTATCAGCCATTCTTACTAGCCTGAGAACTTCTAAGCCATGAGAGGCACAAGATGGGAAACCCAGGTGAGACCTGACAGATTGCTAAGTTGAAGAAATACAACTGAGAGTCTAGCGTAATCAAGGTGGCTAGTGATTGTGAGACAGAATACCGTAGACAGAGGTAACAGACAGAGCACTCAAGAGAACTGCAGAGGGCTGCTCTTGGATATAGAGCTGAATGTTGATCAGTCTACCCATGCACCAAGACTGAGGAAAGACCATCAAAAAAGATTCCCAGCACTCACACGAGGCCAAGAAAATGTTTACTCCAAGCAGCAAGGCTGAAAAAAAGATGATGATTCCTGGGACTTTAGGCAGACTATACAGAATGACCTTGCATAATTAACTCTAAAGCAGTGGTCTTCAAATAAGGATAACTCCCCTTGTTCTTCATGGATATTTGGCAGTATCTGGAGACATTTTTGACTGTCACAACTAGAGGGTGGCTGTTACTGACATCTAGAAAATAGAGGCCAGGGTGCTGATAAAAATTTTATGCTAGCTGGGCACCCAGGGCTCATGCCTGTAATCCTAGCTACTCAGGAGGCAAAGATCAAGAGGATCACGGTTTGAAGCCAGCCCAGGCAAATGGTTCTCAAGACCCTATCTCGAAAAAACCCACCACAAAAAAGAGCTGCTGGTGGAGTGGTGCAAGATGTAGTCCCTGAGTTCAAACCCCAGTACCACACACACACACACACACACACACACACACACACACACACAAATTCTATTAATGTTTACTGGCAAGGTAGTAGGTACCTGCAATCCCAGCACTCAGGAGGCTGAGGTAGGAGGATCATGAGTTGAAGGCCATCCTGGGCTACAGAGCAAGACCCTGTCTCAAAAAAATAAAGAAAGAAACAAGCAGGAATTCTCCTCTCCCCCACAAACAAAGAATTATTTGGTCCAAAATGTCATAGTGTTACTAATGAATGAGTCACTGCCCTCACTGTTAGTCTGTGGTCCAGCCTAACAATGTTTAAACAAAAGACTCAAATGATCAAACTGTTTTCAAATAATTTAACTACATCTCACAATAAGCTTAGGAATATGAATAAGAGAAATATAAAAGTATCAAGCATCTAATAGGTAAAATTCACAATGTCTGGCATCCAATCAAAGATTACTAGGCATACAAAGAAGCAGGAAACTATAATATATGAGAAAAATAAATCTATAGAAATTGACCAAGAACTGACTCAGATAACAGAATTAGCACATAGATAAGGAAATTGCACAATCATGCTAACAGTATTATATATGCTTTAAAACTTAAGTAGAAGCTGTGTGTGGTGGTACAATCTGTAATCCCAGCACTCAGGAGACTGAGGCAGGAGGACAGTGAGTTTGAGGCTTGTCTGGGCTATATAGCAAGACCCTGTCTCAAAAAAAGTGAAAACGATAAGCTTAGTGATATATATTGAACAAAAGAGGAAAGGAAGGAAGAAAGGGAAGGATGGAGGGAGAAAGGAAACAAACATCAGTAAGGATAGCCTAATACACGTGTAAATGGAAACCCCAAAAGAGGACAGAACAAAAAAAAAAGTAGCTTAAGTAACGATGACCAAAACTTTTCCAAATTTGGTGAAAACTATAAACACACAGAGAAAGTTTAATATAAAACACAAGAACTAACATAAAAAATAAGAAGAGGGTTGGGGTTATGTAGCTCAGGGGTAGAGTGCTTGCCTAGCAAAACCAAAGCACAGCCCTGGTTCTATCCCCAGCACTGGGTGTGGGGGGAATGAAAAGAAAAGGGGAGGAGAGAAAAAAAGGAATGAGAAAAATATAAGCTATATCATAATTAAATTGCTCAAAATCAGTGACAATCTTAAAAGCAAAAAGAGAAAGTAGACATATTATGAATATGTCTCACTGGAAACATAAACTAGAATGCAGTGAAACAGTATCTTTAAAGTACAAAAAGGGAAGGCTGTTAATCCCACACCTGGAGAAATATATTTCAAAAACAAAGGAGAAATACCTTTTTCAGACACATAAAAGCTGAAGATTTCATCAGCAGCAGACCTGTACAAGAAATGTTAAAGAAGCTGGGTATGCTGGTGCACAGGCCTATAACCCCAGTGACGTGAGAGTTGGAGATAGGAGGACTGTGAGTTTGA